TATGCGATGAACTAACATGGCACAACGTAAACTCCGGATCGGGATTGGCAAACGGGTTACGTTTGACATGGTTTGACTTGCGCTCAGGTGCGTCGGCTGGGAGAATTGGCTTCTTGTCGAGCTGTGGTGCAAGTTGAAAGGCGATTTTCAAATCATTCTTCTGATACAGGGTTGTTTCATATGGGCCGTGGAAGAGTTTATTGTTTGCCTTGAGGTCATCGAAGCGTATGATTGCTCGATGCCAGAGGTTGTCGGGAAGAGAGAAAAGCGCATCTGGAGTTGTCATTTTGAGTATGTTGGATCGAGAGGTAAGAGGTGAGAGATGAGGAGGACAAGTAGGCAGCTGTAGGATTGAAAGGAATATGTCGTGATCACCGCTAAAAAAGAACACGTGGTAGCTCTGCTCCACTATTGTAGGCAACTGAGCCACAGATAAGCTACTCTCAGCATGCAACCCTAATCACTCTCATCTACAAAGTGTTGCAAATGGTCCCCCAAACTGACTCTTATTAGGTATTGATGCCTCGCCTACGTCTAAGGATATTCCGGAATGTCCTTGGTGAATTTCGACTTCTTCTATCCCCATCAACAGGCATCGGAACGTGTTCACGTACTTCCCATCTCTTCCAGTCAGGCTGGCGCTCTCGCAAATGGGCCCAGCAACCCTCAATCCCACCCGGTCTATCCGTTTTCTGAGCCAATTCCAACTCTTGATCTGCGGATCCCCCCTCCCTCAAGCTCGACGCGCAAGTTATCCGGCTCAGCCTCTCGTTCTCCTCTGGCGGCGCCTGCAAACGCCATTTACGAGGCTCCAAACCATCATCTGTCTTGGTGGCTAGTTGCCAGATGGGGTCGGATGGGCTTCGACAGGTCCCGAGACGATGGCAGGTCGCTACTTCGCAATGCCATCCCGTAAGGTCGTCCATCCAGAGAGATATCCAGAAATCTGTGAAGCATGCATGGCATGACCACCATGAGGTTGGCAAGAAGGTGGAGATATGACAACGTTGGTGATGGCATATCGGCAAATCGAGATCCCGCATGAGGTTGAAGACTAGGGACATTTCCACCGGGGGACCTTTAATTGAGTGGAACCGCACAATGTAAAGCTCGCCGTCGATGATCTGTGCTTCAGAGATATGCTTGAAGGTCCAGGGCCGTGTAAAAACATCGGAATCGGGCGCGCGGGAGTGCGAGACTGTTCTTTGGCGGTGTCTTGTGAGGTATTGCCGGCCTTGACGGTGTTGGCTTAGCGGGACGTGAGGCTCAAGGACACCTTTGTCGAGATCGATGAACCGTTCGAACTCATACTTGTACTCGAGAGGGCCAAGTGGTAATCCGTATGCCTCGCCAAACATATGTCTGTTTACGGCCAGACGCGCTTCTGCAAAGTTGATGCTGGGCCATTGTACTCTTGGAACCCAGGCAAACGGGTGGTGATGCCACATGATTAGACCCGCGGAAAGAGACTGATAATCCTCCTCAAATTCACTGTTAGTGAAACCCAAATTTGCCACGTACTGCCAGAAATCTGTAAAGGAAAACTGGTGGGAGACAGTAGGTTGCGCGCAACTCAAGTGGCCCCGCCCCGAGTTTATAGCCCAGAGTCTGCGACAGTCGAAGCAGAAGGCCAGAGTGGGATTATCCTTCTCAAGCAGCAAAAGGAGTTCATCCCTTTCTGAAAGCTTAAATTCTCTTAAAGGGTCGGTTCCTGTTTGAAGATGGGACCCAGGCAAGTTTAGAAATCTGCCTGTTGGGCAGAGAGCGGTAAAAAGGGACTCGGTTGTAAGAGTGAGGGCGACGAATGAATGAACAGGGAGACAATCAAAGATCATGACCATGATCTCCCAGGGCAGAGAGTGGATTTTTCCGTGATTCGACATTGCCTTTGAGGTATTTTGTGAGGTCTTGTGGTATGCTGGAATGTGGTGGTGGAGTGTTGGTGACAAGCAAATGATGAATTGTCGAGGCGTTCAGGGAAGAGCTCATTTATGTACAGAATTTGATTACCTTTTGGTGATGAACTTTTCGATCATTTGTTGGGAAATGTCAAAGGTTTGCGCTCAAACTTTCGGTCACTCTAAAGTTGATACCAGACTCGGAGGTATAGATACCAAACAAGCCGGAGACGAAACTCAAGCACACCCAACTTTATTTTGGGTTCTAGTAAGCCGAGCTGATGAAAAAGTAGTGCTTCTTGGGCAGCTTTGGGGGAGTGAGGGTTAAATGGGTGTCAGAAAAAAGGTGACCTATTGATACATATGAGCACGCGGACAAAGGACGACAGCCCGTCATTGTCTACTTCTCCGTCTCGAGTGCACGCGCCGTGAATCTTAGAGTTAGTATATAACGTTGTTATTATGGTCCTACTCCACCTTTAATAGGACGGGCTAGGAACGGATTCGAACGGCAGTCATCCACCCGCCCTCACCTGTTAGTTGTGAATGGCACATGCCAGGTTTCAACATGTTGACTATCACGACTGAACCTGTCATTTTTAACGCCAGCTCGCGGGTTAGAAAGACATGTAGGGGCTTTGAAGCTGGGTTGCACATATACACGTTGGCTGTAGTCTGGTCATCGAGCGTCGTAAATGTGCTATCAGTCTTCCACTCTGGGAGATCAGTCCAAGTGTGGACCTCGCTCGTCACCGCAGATAAATGGGGGCATGCTCCTTGATATTGCTGGGCCTTAGATTAGCACAGGGACTAGCAGTGGTGCTGGCAGAAAAGCGCTGATGACTTTTATGGTGATGATGCGCTTGTGACCGTCGGCGGTAGGGAGTCGTGTTGTCGTAATCCTACCGTTCACGAAGAGAGTTGAGAGATATGATGTGACTATCGGCTTTTAAGAAATAGTCTGTTGAGAATCAGAAATATACAAAAAGAATCCGTGCCTTATCCTTGCCGGTTCCAGACATACCATCGTGATAGCACGTTGAGGTGTCAACCTGGAGATAAACTTGGCTAAGTCCGTTGGTATCTGGAGATAACATCGATTGCAACGAGGATCTTAACGCCGAGCTTGGACACCTCTTGGCGAGATATGCATGAATTGATGAAACCTTAATCCTTCGTGTAAGGATAAAGAGAGGTAGTCCAGCGAAACATATCCTATTTTGGAATGCTATGTCTGTATGTGGCTGACACCATGTCGCCGTTAACTCCGTAACTATCTTCTATCTGATCAGGAGAGGGGCCCATCTCAGCAGTGGCCTAGTCGAACCCACCTTGTTGGCAGTATATCTAGGGGAGTTCTCAGACCTAGAATCAGCCGTTCCTCTGTACTTCACAGTTATCACTTAAACTATTACCATCCTTCATCCGTTACAGCACCTCTACCACCATGGACTTTAGCTCTCTCGAACCCCCAACTGAACTTGGCCACTACCGTATCCTCTCTCCAAGATGCGGCCTCCGTGTGTCTCCCCTCCAGCTCGGAAGCATGTCAATCGGCGATGCCTGGTCCTCTTTCATGGGCAAAATGAATAAAGAGCAGGCATTCGAACTCCTTGATGCCTACTACGCAGCCGGGGGCAACTTTATCGACACGGCCAATGGCTACCAGGACGAACAGTCAGAGGCGTGGATAGGCGAGTGGATGGCGTCTCGCAAGAACCGGGATCAGCTCGTCATTGCGACCAAGTATACTACTGAATATAAGGCGCATGAGCTAGGGAAGGGAAAGACGCCTAACCACTGCGGGAACCACAAGAGGAGTTTGCATATGAGTGTGCGAGATTCTCTTGCGAAGCTACAGACGGATTGGATTGATATCCTCTACCTGCATTGGTGGGACTACACCACATCGATCGAAGAGGTGATGGATAGCCTGCACATCCTGGTAGAGCAAGGCAAAGTCCTCTATCTAGGCGTCTCGGATACTCCAGCTTGGGTCGTCAGCGCTGCAAACACATACGCAGTCGCCCATGGAAAGACACCCTTCTGTATCTACCAAGGCCGCTGGAACGTCATGCTACGCGACTTTGAGCGAGAGATTATCCCAATGGCGCGCCACTTTGGCATGGCTCTGGCGCCTTGGGATGTTCTCGGCAGCGGAAAATTCCAGAGTAGGAAGCAAGTCGAGGAGCGCAAGAAGAGCGGCGAGCCGCTACGCACTTTCTTTAGCGGCGATTCGGGCCAGAACCAGACCGAGGATGAGATACGGATGAGTGATGCGCTTGCCAGCGTGGCGGCTGAGCATGACATTGAGTCGGTTACTGCCATCGCGCTCGCCTACGTCATGGCCAAGGCACCCAACGTCTTTCCTCTTGTTGGTGGGAGGAAGGTTAAGCATTTACACGATAATATTCAGTCGCTCAAGATAAGGTTGACGGAGAAGCAAGTTGAGTATTTGGAGAGCGTGAAACCATTCGAGGTCGGATTTCCTAGCAATTTACTTGGAGAGGATCCCAATGTATCTGGTCGCGCAGGAGGGCTGTTAGCTCAGTCTGCGTCTTTGGCGTTTGTACGATCTTCTAGGGCAATTGGGTATGACAACTGAGGATAGTGACGGTGTTGGACGGAAGGATGGGACCATACAATCGAGCGTAGGTCGTTGAGTAGAATGTCGGAGAGCTGGGAGGGGGATTGTCTCGGGCTTTACTGAACTTAACAACTCCAAAATAAAACCATTCGACGAATGAGGTAGCCCTAGAACCCTGAGGCCCAAACATGCAACTAGCCATGACCTTCGGGAACTCAGGCTCTCAGAAAATATGGTCTGAGGCATGTCAGTACTAGAATCATCAATGTTTGTCGTCCAATAAGGTGGATCTCGATGATGGAGGGACAGCTAGTGTCCCGGCATTTATCGGGCACAAGCGACGGCCAGGGACTCCCAGTTTCCAGACCATCAACAAAAAGTTGACCGCAGAAACCGTTTGTTTGCGCGCGCCTTCTTTGAGGCTTGTTGTTAAGGTATACGCTTCGTCGAGTGAAGACCAGGCAAGCCACTCGGAGTCTAGATAGTGACAGAAACTCGCAAAAAATAAACCTCAAGCTTGAATGGCCGAGTGGTTAAGGCGGTGGTCTTAAGCACCACTCCCGTGAGGGATCGTCAGTTCGAATCTGGCTTCAAGCAGGTTAATTTTTGCTTCGCTGCTCTAAAATGGGTTACATAGCTTCTTTCCATTTATTTTTGCATTACATGCGACTCCAGGAGGGGTTGTTCACCTTTGGCTGTGCTTGACGTAAGCGCGAGCCGATGGATCCCCAACGGCAACATCTCGACAGATAGCACGATGCCTTTAACATTCGTTGAACACGCCTCTTCAATGTCTTTTTTCACCTTCATCGAGATCATCTTTGCCTGTATCTCATATTTGGACACACGGAACTAGAATGCAAGCTCGCCCAGTTCCAGCACACTCAGGATTCATCATCACGCAAAACATCACTTCCAGGCAGCACTCACCTCACCTCTGTGGCGTCACGAAGCATTAGGTTTCCCGCCGATTTTGAGTTGAGAACTGCAGGCTTTGCTATTGCATTCGGAACTCTATTTTGGCGACAGGGAAAGTCCCTATATGAACCATGAGCCCACCCTCACTTGCAGCAGTTCAAATCTCATCCTCATTCTTTAACTCCTCAACTGAATCAAGCAACATAACCCCCCAATATGGAAACCGAAAAGGAGAGAAAGCACGCATCGCCCGAAATACATCCGCCCAGCCAACCAGACCCGACTCTGTACCAACAGAGGCAGAGTACGCTATTTCGACTTCCGCAAGAGCTTCGTCTCAAGATCTACGAGTACATTTTCTCTCCAAAAAGACTTCAATGGCGTTTCAGGAAGATCGACCTGGCCACGCGTTCAAAAAACAAGCCCCGGCAAACTCTCGCTCTCATCCGAACTTGCCGCCGAGTTAGAGACGATATTGGCGATAGTTGGCTCAGCCAGATTCACTTGACGTTCAGGACACCGGACATTATGCTTGATATGTTAACGGAATTGCCTGTGCCGTCTCTCTCAAAGATCCGACATGTACGGGTCACTGCCGAGCCTGTCCTGACCCGGCTAGGGACGCCACGACATGAGATCTATTTCATGAGTGCCCTGCTCAAACTACTCCCAGGGCTCCGTCTCGACACACTCACGGTGCAGGCCACCGGCCCTTTTCTCACGCTTGCAGGCTCCGAAATTCTGGACGAGTTGATCTCGAGAAGTTCTGGCTGGAGGGAACTCTACTACATCACCCGCGAAGTGACACTCCTTGGGCTTAGGAACCCGCCCGTCAGACACCATTCACAACCAGAGCATTGGCAGCGCATCATGGATGATAGGGATGGTACTGAAACTAAACCCTCTGTCATCATTCGTCGTTCTACTCATCCAGTCATGGACGAAAACACCACACTGATATCCAAACGAGATATGCCCAGCAACTGGACAGATGGGATTATCCTTGGTGCCAACCCAAATGTAAACCTCACCGAAAAAATAAAGGACAAAAGAGGCATCATGGTGGTCGTCAAGAGGGGCGTTGGTGTCGACTACCAGGAGAAGGAGGGATCGCCGCTCCTGGAGAAGGACATTCGTAGGGATGCTCCAGGAATGAGGTGGCAAGAGATCCAGTACATTCATGATCCTAATCCTAGTCCTGATTCTTTTCTTGATGAGGAGTTTGCCTATGTGCCGTACAGGTGGGAACCGGAAGAGGATGACTGATGTGGATACAAATATGAGTTGGCACGGCAGCTTCAAAAGACTTGTTGCTTATCCAATTGAATAGAATGTCAGGCTCTCTCTATTGGTATCTCATTATTCTCTACAAAGTCGTAAAATGTATGCTCTTCATGGATCTTAATGATCCTGAGAATCGTGCTCGGTCGCATTCAGATCGTCCAACTCATGATCCCCAGTCATGTCCATCAATCTTCTATATACATCATCACCGTCTTCACTCGGCGGAGGCGAGACGCCCTCACACTCCTCATGAAATTCCTCTGCCTCTTCTTCACTAGGAGAGTCGTGATCAATCCAGTAGTCGATAAAGTTATTCCCATCATCCTCAGGGCATCTCAACCTCCGAAATGTCTCTTCGCCATCTTCTTCAGATGGAGGCTCAACGCCGTCTTCAGGGTTAAGCGCACGAAGCAAGTCTTCTTCTTCGTCGATCTGGTGATCTCTGTATGCCTCTAATTCGTTTTCGAAGAGATACTGGGCCTCCAACTCTGCCTCGTAATCCAAATCCATGTCATCCATGTCATCCTCCTCTGGATGCATGTTGTTGACGTCTCGCCCAGGGCTAACATCTGGAGTATAATACGTCCGTCTCCAAGCAGACTCTCTGGAAAAAATGTATCCCACCTGGTCCACTGAAGGGCTCCGAGGATACCTGTTGTGGTAGTTCAAGGCGTACATTGGGACATCATCCTGGTTGACGGGATCTGGGTCTTCTTGGACGAGGATCTCGCCATCTTGATCGCATTCTGAACATGAGGTATGCCTGCACCGCTGTGAAGGCTGTTTCCAATAGTCTTCATGACCGCCGGTCTCTGGATATCTCTTGTCATCCCAATAAGGACAGAGGGACTCGTGTCCGAGCCATAGTCTCTCAAAGTCTTGTCTGCTGTAGTTCTTGTTGTACCTCGGGACCCTGGGGTAAGGTACTCGGAACTGTTTAAGGTCGTGCCCGCAGATGGCGACAGCTGCGTCCCAGAGATCGCCTCTGTATGAGCCCTTGGAGGAATACTGATTGTCGTTCTCATTGGGTAGATAGGCTCGCATTGCAGCTGTGTTGCCATGATGGTCGACAGCAGAGGGGTCTGCACCTTGCCGAATCAAGTAGACAAGAGTCTCGAGCTCATCCCTTTCCTCTGTCCGATGGGCCGTGTACACGAGACTATGCAGACACGTGAACCCGAGCGTTTGGTGATCGTCCGGAGACCACGATTGGGCAATGCGAGCATTCAAGTCGGCTCCAGCAGCAACCAGCATAGCCACTGCCTTTCGCTTGCTGGTTGATCTCGAGTCGGCCATGCAGATCTGGTGCAGTCTCGTTCGACCGTTCATGTCTGAGCTCTCAAAGTCGTGCAGTGCAAAATGGCTGCCGTGCTTCAAGAAGAGCTCCACGGATGGCTGTACGGACATTAGTAACAAGTGACGACAAGCGGAATGAATACCTACAATATCCGAGCTGCAAGCAGCAGATAGTGGATTATCCCATCCTGGGTAAGATAATGTGGGATCCGCCATGTTCTCAAGTAACACCAGCGTAGTATCATGACGACTCAACCCTGTGATGTGACTAAGAGCAGTTCCGCTGTTCTCTCCCATCTCATCGACGTCTGCGCCAGATTCAATGAGAAACTTGCACATGTCAACGGTTCCCGCAGCCGCGTACTGGGGCAATATTAGCTGGAAGAACAAAAGAATGGTGGTACAATTGGTCTCACATGTAATAGAGGCATGCCCTGTTCGTCATGATCCCTGAGGCTTGCCTTTCCCTCATCCAGCAAGATGCGAAACTCCCTGAGTTTACCCTCTTGCACTAACCGAAAGACAGGTGATCCGTTAGGAATAATGGGACAAACTGAAATACGCGGTATACTCTGGATACTTCGATCAAATAACTGTCCTTGAGAGACCGAGACGGAAAACATCCACGGCGATTGTGAGGGGCGGAACATGATGTTTGCAACGACATCTCGGTGGGTGCTTGCATTCTCGGAGGAGTTGGATCTCTGGGACACTCTTCTTCGCTTGTTTACGGATACTGTCAGAAAACCGTGATCAACGTCGATTTCCTCTCTTGCTCGTTTCTGCTTGATGATGACGCCAGTTGGTAGATGAGCTCGAAGATGAGTCGAGTTGGGAACTGACACGTAAGCTTGGTTCTCAAGGGGACACAACGTCCAATGCCCAAGAATTCTTACCTGGTTGGTTGATAGCAACGATGGGAGCAGAGAGCATCAAGCCCTCAATCAACTTCAGGTCTCTCCTTACTTGATCGCTGTCATCGTTCACTGCATATGGGTTCGCCGTTATCTTTCCCTTCCCTGTCTGCCTGACAGTCACTTTGTCTCTAGCTATTAGGATAAACTTTCTCAGGTCGTCGATGATTTGCTCAGCGTCGTCGGCGTCCAGGGTCAACCCATCGTGATCGACAAGACTTGATAGTCGTGAAATACTCTCTTCGAGTTCTGAACACAGAGTCATTGTCTCGAGGTTCTGGGTGATTGAAGCTGACGCGTCTTCCGTGGCGTCATCGGGTTGAGTTGTTGAGGCTGTATCATTGTTGTCGAGACGAGAATGTAATCTTGCGACTTCGCCCAAGATTTGTTCTAGGATTCCCGTTGTCGCTGTAGCTTGATCGTCGATCTTGGAGGTTGTGTCCGAAATCGCCTGCGCTTGAAGCAAGCCGAGATACAAGTTGGCTTGTGTCGTCTTGTCTCTTACTCTGCTCCGTGCCTCCTCGAGCTCTTCTTTCTTCACGTACCCAAGAATCCCCTTGTACACCCGACTTGATCGGCTGCTGTCTGGCTTCTTCTTGAACTGCTCCAACCGGTTCTCGATGCCGGAAAGCTCACTCGTACAGGCTTTGAGCATATCCTGGAAAGACGTGATGGTGCTGCTTGGAGCATGACTCAAAGGACAATTCGTCAATCGCCCAAGGACTGACTGTAGAAGTTGAATGTCTTGCGCTAGCTCGCGTACTATCCTTGGGGCATCCTTGATTGCGGAGAGGGATTCGTGGATAACTTTGGCGGATTTGAGGGCTAGGAGCACGAATGCTAGAGTGCTGGCGCCTGTGCCGATGGCTTCCATGGTTACACGGGGACGAAAATGCGAATTGAGCCAGAGATGTCACTGTCAAGAAGTTGATACTTGATACGCTGAGCGTCGGGACATGATGAGCAGGTGAAAAGAGCACAATCGTGTCATGCTGTCCGCTGGGCAGTTTCAGCCGCAGTGGCTATGTGAGGCGGTTTAAGCGCTGTGAGAAAGCCCTCAACATGCTGAGCCAATGGGCAGGGGTCATTATCTACAGGGGGCTGTGCATCGCGAGTCTTGGCGCTATCTTCCCCCTCTCCTCTGGCCGAGGCATTCTTGGTCTTTCTCTTTGGGTGAAGATCATC